CCTCACCCTACACAGACCCTACCTGTATAAAAGCCTGAGGTTCTGGTTCCTACAGGACACCTACTACACAAGGCCACTCTACCAATCCCAGGAGACACAGCAGCTCTACCTAATACATAGGATCAAACACACAGGAAAGCAGGCAAAATGTGGAGACAAAGAAGCATCTCAAAATGAAAGAACAGAAGAAATATCCAGAAAAAACCTCAATTAAATGGAATCAAGCAAGCTACTGGATACAGAATTCAAGACAATGATAACAAGATTTTTCAAGGATCTTAATGAAAGCTTCAAGGGTAAGACTTCTAAGCATCTTAGTGAGAATTTAAAGGAAAATAGTGAAAACATTTAAAAAATGTAAAAGGACCAGTAAGAAATTAAGTATACACTAATTGAAATGAATAATTTACAGGGAGTCAATAAGAGAGTAGAGGATTCTGAGAATAAATCAGCAATTTGGAATATGAGGCAACAAAAAACACCCAATCATAAGTACAAAAAGAAAAAAGAACCCAAAAATATGAAGATAGTGTAAGGAGTCTCTGGGACAACTTCAAGCATACCAACACTCACATTATGGGGGTACCAGAAGGAGAAGAGAGAGCGCATATATTGAAAACCTATTTGAAGAAATAATGACATAAATTGTAAACCCACCTTAAAAATCCTATTCACTGGTAGATTTTTAAAATATCTTTTAAAATTAATTACTGAGCCAAAGAGAAAATCAAAGTAGAATTTATAAACTATTCAAAAATAAGAAACACTGATAGTTCTAAATTTTGAAACCCATTTCGTGTAGCCATAACACAGAGAATAAATAAGAGAGTTAATTGTTTAGATTAGAAAATGAGTTTGAAAGTAAGCAAATAAAATACATACCTCAAGGAAGTAGAAGAAATGAAATAAAACAAAACTAAATAATGTAGAAGAAAATAAAAAATATATAACGTTAGTATCAACCTAGTGGACTTAATGAAAAGAATCCAAACTGTCATATTTTTAAAGAGAGTTGGAAAAGAGATGGCTTAAATACATGACATATAATTTAGCATGTTTCTTTCTCTACAGGTGCAACCCACTTTATGCATATCACCCTGGAATCACAGGGAATAATACCTGCCACCCAGCACATACCACATTCATAGATTCAAATTCCGATTTAAAATATCACACATTAAATGCAAACTTCTACCTCATCAGCATTCTGAAATCCTGAGGTGTTATCTATTTATACACTTTTAAAATTTTAAGTGAAAACAAGTTGTCTTTGGACTGATATCGCAAAAACCCAGGCCACCACTGCCTGTGTGCTTGAACATCCCTCCTGATGAAATTTTCTTTTTTTTTTTTTAAATATATTTTATTGATTTTTTACAGAGAGGAGGGGAGAGGGATAGAGAGTTAGAAACATCGATGAGAGAGAAACATCGATCAGCTGCCTCCTGCACACTTCCCACTGGGGGTGTACCCGCAACCAAGGTACATGCCCTTGACTGGGATCAAACCTGGGACCCTTCAGTCCACAGGCCAATGCTCTATCCACTGAGTCAAACTGGTTAGGGCTCAAGGATGTTTTTTATTTCTTCTTTGATCTCTTTGGTAACCTGATCATTGTTTAGTAGCATGCTATTCAGCCTCCAAGTCCTCCTGTTGAAATTTTCATGAGGTTATTGTCATATTGAAACAAGGCCCTGCCAATGATCTGATTACTATAGTTAGAGCCTCAGCCCAAAGCAGATAAAGGGTTTTGATTACTAATTGAAAATTGAGGCCAAATATTCACAAGAACTATACAAAAGTTCAGACTCTTTGACTCAGTAGCTCCCATCCTGACAACCTGTCTTAAAAAATAATTCAAAATAATTTTAAAAATCCATCAGCATGAATACATTTATGTTAACATTACCCA